ATACAGCTGTGCAAGACTGAAAGGGAGGAGCCAATACAGCTGTGCAAGACTGAAGGGGAGGAGCCGGCACACCTGTGCTAGACTGAAGGGGAGGAGCAGGTACACCTGTGCAAGACTGAAGGGGAGGAGCCGGTACACCTGTGCAAGACTAAAGGGGAGGAGCCGGTACACCTGTGCTAGACTGAAGGGGAGGAGGCGGTGCACCTGTGCTAGACTGAAGGGGAGGAGCCGCTACACCTGTGCAAGACTGAAGGGGAGGAGCTGGTACAACTGTGCAAGACTGAAGGGGAGGAGCCTGTACACCCGTGCAAGACTGAAGGGGAGGCTGGAGGCCAGTTGTAATTATTTTAGTGTGCCCGCTCCCCCCCCATCATGCAGGAATAGTTTGTACTCGGCGATCTCTGAATTGCTCAGTCATTGTCAGTTTGTCTATTTTTACTGTACAGATCTGGACAGCATCCACCCCCCCCCCCCTCCTGGAAGTGTCAGAGCCACAGCCAATTCCAGGGCATTCTTTGTGGGGGGGGGGGGGGGGGTTTGCTCTGTATATAAGGAGCCAAGCTCTGAGATTCCCAGCACAGTCTGTGCCCACATCCTCCCAGCAGCATGGATATTACAATTCACCGCCCCTGGATGCGCTGCCCGGTCCTGAACCCGCAGCTCTTCCCCAGCCGGATCCTGGGCCAGAGGTTCGGAGAAGGCATCCTGGAATCGGATCTGTTCTCCCCGATGCCTCTGGGTGTGAACCCATACTACATGCGTGCACCCAGCGTCCCCCAGCTGGAGACCGGACTGTCCGAGGTATGGAGGGGGGGAGTGAGGCCAATAACGGTCCTATAAAACAGACTGTAAGATCCCATCATACAAAAGGGGCGGAGCTATAAAGCAGGGAATATGACATTCACCAAACATTCAATTCAGGTGAATCCTGCCAATGTATGTGTTTTAAATGATTAATTCAGTGAATGATCAGTGGAAGTCACATTCTCTGCTTTATTAACATGCCACATCATGGTTCTGATTGTACAACCCCACTGCCATGGGTAGCATTATATACAATTCGGACCAGGGGCGGACTGACCATTCGAGCACTTGGGCACTGCCTGAGGGCCCGGGATCAGTACGGGGCCCCATGAAATGCCCCTGGTACCTTTTATAGGCTTTTTTGGGTGTAGTTTGAGTGTGGGTAAGGACGCAGGGGCCCTATGATCCCCTATTGCCCGGGGGCCCCATGAGTTGTCAGTCCGCCCCTGATTCGGACATTCACACTACACCTTACACTTTGCTTGGAGCCAGCAAGATCAGATCCTTCAATACAGGGGGAGTCAACTAGTGTGAAAGGAATTCTTTGGGGGAAGGGCATTATTATAATATTGGGCGTGGTCACATACCGGGGGGGGGGGGGGGGGGGTATAAATGCTGTCCATTTGTATTTTTTTGCCATATGTGTCCCCATTGGGGAGATTTCCCTTTCACTTCCTGTCCCATAGTTAAAACAGGAAGTGCAATATAATCTCTCCAACGTAAGGAAATCCCTAGTTGTCCCCAGAACTTGTGTCTTCATTAGAGAGAGATTTCCCTACACTTCCTGTCCCATAGTCAAAACAGGAAGTGTAATATAATCTATCCAACGTGAGGGAATCCCTGGTTGTTCCCAGACCTAGTGTACCCATTGGAGAAATTTCCTTTCCCTTCCTGTCCCGTAGCCACAACAGGAAGTGAAAGGAAATTTCTCCAAAGTGAGGGAGTCCCTGGTTGTCCACAGACCTAGTGTCCCCATTGGGGAGATTTCCCTTCACTTCCTGTCCCATAGCGACAACAGGACGTGCAAGAAAATCCCTCCAAAGTGAGGGAATCCCTGGTTGTCACCAAACAGGTGTCCCCATTGGAAGATTTTCCCTCTGTTCCTGTTCTGGTGACAACCAAAAATTTGGGATTTTCTTCTACTCTCAGTGAAAACAGTGAACAGGAGCTCCTACCTAATCCATTCATTCATTCAATTTATATCCATTCAGGCAAGTTCTTGCACTACATAGTTATTGATAAATCTAAAGGAAATTGTACAATCAGATTGGAATATGTATGTATGGCTGGCCTGTGCTGAGATGTGGTCTTGCCTGCATTCTCAGGAATACAAAAGCTTTTTTTTTCTGTGTAATATGTACTTGAGAGGGGGGCTGGCAAGGACTGTGGGTGTGCTAAAAGAGATAGTTATAGACGGTCAGAGATTGAATGCTAAAAGGGAAAGCTACAGGAGATGGTCAGAGACTGCAGACATGTACAGGAGATGGTCAGAGACTGCAGACATGTACAGGAGATGGCCAGAGACTGCAGACACAGTACAGGAGATGACCAGAGACTGCAGACATAGTACAGGAGATGACCAGAGACTGCAGACACTAGTACAGGAGATGGTCAGAGACTGCAGACATGATACAGGAGATGGTCAGAGACTGCAGACATGCTACAGGGGATGACCAGAGACTGCAGACATAGTACAGGAGATGGACCAGAGACTGCAGGAGACATAGTACAGGAGATGGTCAGAGACTGAAGACATGATACAGGAGATGGTCAGAGACTGCAGACATGCTACAGGGGATGACCAGAGACTGCAGACATAGTACAGGAGATGGTCAGAGACTGCAGACATAGTACAGGAGATGGTCAGAGACTGCGGACATGATACAGGAGATGGTCAGAGACTTCAGACATAATACAGGAGATGGTCAGAGACTGCAGACATGATACAGGAGATGGTCAGAGACTACAGACATAGTACAAGAGATGGTCAGAGACTGCAGACATAGTACAGGAGATGGTCAGAGACTTCAGACATAATACAGGAGATGGTCAGAGACTGCAGACATGATACAGGAGATGGTCAGAGACTACAGACATAGTACAGGAGATGGTCAGAGACTTCAGACATAATACAGGAGATGGTCAGAGACTGCAGACATGATACAGGAGATGGTCAGAGACTACAGACAGGGTACAGGAGATGGTCAGAGACTTCAGACATAATACAGGAGATGGTCAGAGACTGCAGACATGGTACAGGAGATGGTCAGAGACTGCAGAGACTGCGACATGGTACAGGAGATGGTCAGAGACTGCAGACATAGTACAGGAGATGGTCAGGGACTGCAGACATAGTACAAGAGATGGTCAGAGACTGCAGACATAGTACAGGAGATGGTCAGAGACTGCAGACATAGTACAGGAGATGGTCAGAGACTTCAGACATAATACAGGAGATGGTCAGAGACTATAGACATAGTACAGGAGATGGTCAGAGACTATAGACATAGTACAGGAGATGGTCAGAGACTGCAGATATGGTACAGGAGATGGTCAGAGACTGCAGACATGGTACAGGAGATGGTCAGAGACTGCAGACATGGTACAGGAGATGGTCAGAGACTGCAGATATGGTACAGGAGATGGTCAGAGACTGCAGACATGGTACAGGAGATAGTCAGAGACTGCAGACATGGTACAGGAGATGGTCAGAGACTGCAGATATGGTACAGGAGATGGTCAGAGACTGCAGACATGATACAGGAGATGGGCAGAGACTGCAGACATGGTACAGGAGATGGTCAGAGACTGCAGACATGGTACAGGAGATGGTCAGAGACTGCAGATATGGTACAGGAGATGGTCAGAGACTGCAGACATGATACAGGAGATGGGCAGAGACTGCAGACATGGTACAGGAGATAGTCAGAGACTGCAGACATAGTACAGGAGATGGTCAGAGACTGCGGACATAGTACAGGAGATGGTCAGAGACTGCAGACATAGTACAGGAGATGGTCAGAGACTGCGGACATAGTACAGGAGATGGTCAGAGACTGCGGACATAGTACAGGAGATGGTCAGAGATTGCAGATATGTTGCAGGAGATGGTCAGAGACTGAGGACATAGTACAGGAGATGACCAGAGATTGCAAACATGATACAGGAGATGGTCAGAGACTGCAGACATAGTGCAGGAGATGGTCAGAGATTGCAGATATGTTGCAGGAGATGGTCAGAGATTGCAGATATGTTGCAGGAGATGGTCAGAGACTGCAGGAGATAATTAGAGAGTGTCAGAGATTTAATGGCAAAGAGAATACTACAGGAGATGGTTAGAAACTCTGGACATGCTATGGGAGATAGTCAGAGACTTAAGATATGGCACAGGAGATGGTCACAGACTGCAAGCATATTACAGGAGATGGTCGGACACGGTAGATTTATTGCAGGAGATTGTCAGAGACCTAATGTATGGCACAGGAGACGGTCAGAGACTGGTGATGTTACATGTGACTGCTAGAGATCACTGGTCCTTACAGCCACTTGCCAGCTCCACAGAGCCGTGTTTGACATTCCTGTCGCGGAATCCATCAGAGATAATACAGAGAATGAGGATATAGAAGGGGCGGGTCAGAGAAGTCCCAGCTGTGCAGATCACAGCCAATTGTCTTTTGTCTCCACCTAGGTGAAGCTGGACAAAGACCAGTTCTCTGTGATGCTGGACGTCAAACATTTCTCCCCCCAAGAGCTGACAGTCAAAGTTGTTGGTGACTACGTGGAGGTGCACGCCAAGCACGAGGAGCGCCAGGTAACTGGGAGATTTTACAGCACTCAGAGGAGGAGTAGCTCATTGGCTAAAAGGTTTCAGCTCGGCCAAACTCCCCCTTTACTCCACCTCTGAACATGCACAGGTTAAGGCCACAGACCATCTGATCTTCAACAAACTTTATCAATACCGGGGCAGGTGACCGAGATGTGTCCTTGCGTGCCAGATGTAACCCCGCCCCTGAGGGTCTTAGTCTCCCCAGACGCCTATGACTAAGCCCGTAAAGCAGGGAAAACGGGGTCAGTGATGTAACTCCACCACTGACGTGTGTCGGCTACTACAAGAGTCTGGGGGACTAAGCTCCTCAGGGGTGGGGTTACATCTGGTGGTAGCTTCACTACTGACATGTTTCACCTGCTATAGGGGCCAAGTCATAAGGCCACGCACCATCTGATCTTCAACAAACTTTATCAATACCAGGGCAGGTCACCGAGATGTGTCCTTGCGTGCCAGATGTAACCCCACCCTTGAGGGGCTTAGTCTCTCCAGACGCCTATGACTAAGCCCGTAAAGCAGGCAAAATGGGTCAGTGATGTAACTCCACCACTGACGTGTCACCGGCTACAAGAGCTTAGTCATAGGAGTCTGGGGACTAAGCTCCTCAGGGGTGGGGTTACATCTGGTGGTAACTCTACCACTAACACGTTTTGGCTGATTTCAGTGATTTGCATATACATCAATGATTCAGCCTATACAGGCTCAGTCATATAAGCCCATAAAGCAGGTGAAACATGTTAGTGATGTAAAGCCGCCACTGATGCGACTTACCTGCTATACTGCATAGTCATAGGAGTTTGGGGACTAAGCTCCTCAGGGGTGGGGTTACATCTGGTGGTAGCTTCACTACTGACATGTTTCACCTGCTATAGGGGCCAAGTCATAAGGGCACACACCATCTAATCTTCAACAAACTTTATCAATACCAGGGCAGGTCACCGAGATGTGCATCCTTGCATGCCAGATGTAACCCCGCCCCTGAGGGGCTTAGTCTCCCCCGACACCTATGACTAAGCACGTATAGCAGGCAAAACGGGTCAGTGAGGTAACTCCACCACTGACGTGTCACCGGCTACATGAGCTTAGTCAAAGGAGCCTGGGAGACAAAGCCCCTCAGGGGTGGGGTTACATCTGATGGTAACTCCACCACTAACACGTTTTGGCTGATTTCAGTGATTTGCATATACATCAGTGAATCAGCCTATACAGGCTGTCATATAAGCCCATAAAGCAGGTGAAACATGTTAGTGATGTAAAGCCGCCACTGATGCGACTTACCTGCTATACGGCTTAGTCATAGGAGTCTGGGGACTAAGCTCCTCAGGGGTGGGGTTACATCTGGTGGTAGCTTCCCTACTAACATGTTTCACCTGCTATAGGGGCCAAGTCATAAGGCCACACACCATCTGATCTTCAACAAACTTTATCAATACCAGGGCAGGTCACCGAGATGTGTCCTTGCGTGCCAGATGTAACCCCGCCCCTGAGGGGCTTAGTCTCCCCAGACGCCTATGACTAACCCGTAAAGCAGGAAAAAAACGGGTCAGTGATGTAACTCCACCACTGACGTGTGTCGGCTACTACAAGAGTTTGGGGGACTAAGCTCCTCAGGGGTGGGGTTACATCTGGTGGTAGCTTCACTACTGACATGTTTCACCTGCTATAGGGGCCAAGTCATAAGGCCACACACCATCTGATGTTCAACTAATGTAATCAATACTAGGGCAGGTCACTGAGATGTGTCCTTGCGTGCCAGATGTAACCCCGCCCCTGAGGGGCTTAGTTTCCCCAGACGCCTATGACTAAGCCCGTATAGCAGGAAAAACGGGTCAGTGATGTAACTCCACCACTGACGTGTCACCGGCTACAAGAGCTTAGTCATAGTATTCTGGGGACTAAGCTCCTCTAAGGGGGGGGGGGGTTACATCTGATGGTAACTCTACCACTAACACATTTTGGCTGACATCAGTGATTTGCATATATATCAGTGATTCGGCCTATACAGGCTCAGTCATATAAGCCCATAAAGCAGGTGAAACATGTTAGTGATGTAAAGCCGCCACTGATGCGACTTACCTGCAATACGGCTTAGTCATAGGAGTCTGGGGACTAAGCTCCTCAGGGGTGGGGTTACATCTGGTGGTAGCTCTACCACTGACATGTTTCACCTGCTATAGGGGCCAAGTCATAGGACTCCTATGACTAAGCCTGTATAGCAGACAAAACGTTTCAGTGATGTAAATCCACCGCTCACATGTTTCACCTGCTACTCAGGCTTAGTCCTAGGAGTCTAGGGCACTAAGCCCCTCAGGGGTGGGAAGCTTAATGTCACCGCTCTGAAGCCATATTCACAGAAAGAAAATCACCCAACCGGCATAGGAGAGTTCCAGTGTCTAGAGGGAGGTATGAGGAGCGGACCCCACTTAGAACCAACTCCGGGTGTCCGGCGTTTTAGGTGTATGGAGTGGCCTCGGCTAGCCACACCTTCTGATACGTTTCACCCTGCCGATCTGGGCTTGGTCACAGAGGCCACTCCATACACCTAACAAGCTGGACTCCGGGCGTTGGTTCTGAGCGGTGTCCGCTCCCCCTTCCATAAGGGGAAAAGTTACATCTTGGGGGAAACTCCATCTACATGTTTTGTCTGCTATATGGGCTTAGTCATAGAAGTCTAGGGGACCAAGTCCGTGTAGAAGGGCAAAACGTGTTAGTGATGGAACTCCACCACTGACACATCTCACCTGCTATACAAGCATAGTCATAGGAGTCTAGGAGACTAAGCCCCTCAGGGGTGGGGTTGCATCTGGTGGTAGCTCCACCATTGATACATTTCACCTGCTATAGAGGCTTAATATTACAGGTCTGGGAGACTAAGCCCATATAACTCCACCACTGACATGTTTCGCCTGCTATATGAACTTAGTTCTAGGAGGACTAAGCCCCTCAGGGGTGGGGTTACATATGTTGGTAGCTCCACCATTGATACGTTTCACCTGCTATAGAGGCTTAATATTACAAGTCTGGGAGACTAAGCCCATATAACTCCACCACTGACATGTTTCGTCTGCTATATGAACTTAGTTCTAGGAGGACTAAGCCCCTCAGGGGTGGGGTTACATCTGGTGGTAACTCCACCATTGATACATTTCACCTGCTATAGAGGCTTAATAATACAAGTCTGGGAGACTAAGCCCATATAACTCCACCACTGACATATTTCGCCTGCTATATGAACTTAGTTCTAGGAGGACTAAGCCCCTCAGGGGTGGGGTTACATCTGGTGGTAACTCCACCATTGATACGTTTCACCTGCTATAGAGGCTTAGTATTACAAGTCTGGGAGACTAAGCCCATATAGCTCCACCACTGACATGTTTCACCTGCTATATGAACTTAGTTCTAGGAGGACTAAGCCCCTCAGGGGTGGGGTTACATCTGGTGGTAGCTCCACCATTGATACATTCCACCTGCTATAGAGGCTTAGTATTACAAGTCTGGGAGACTAAGCCCATATAGCGAGCAAAACAGGTCAGGTCAGTGATATACCTCCACCACTGACATGTTTTGCCTGCTATATGACCTTAGTTATAGGACTAAGCCCCTCAGGGGTGGGGTTACATCTGGTAGTAGCTCCACTATTGATACATTTCACGTGCTATAGAGGCTTAGTATTACAAGTCTGGGAGACTAAGCCCATATAGTGAGCAAAACAGGTCAGTGATATAACTCCACCACTACCATGTTTCGGCTGCTATATGAACTTAGTCATAGGAGGACTAAGCCCCTCAGGGGTGGGGTTACATCTGGTGGTGAAGGACATCTCAGTGTTAACGTTTGTTGCAGTTGTTGTGTGGCCTGGACCTCTTGTATGTTCAGGGAGGAGGAGAAGGATCTTTGAAGGCCAATTACCTGCAGCCAGTTGGGGCTTGCCTTGGTGTATTGCTTGGTTTAGCTCTGCTGTAGGTGTATCCTAGGAGGTCCCCCACGGAACAAAGGTTGGAACGCTGCAGAGGAGCCTGTATATCGATCATACAGAGTAAGACACGCATCTTTTTCTATTTTGTAGGATGAACACGGCTTCATCTCCCGCGAGTTCCACCGCCGATACAAGATGCCTGCAACAGTCAATCCGGCCTCCATCACTTCAGCACTGGCCGCCGACGGACTGCTCTCCATCCAAGCACCGGTCATAGACACGGCCAAGGCTGAAGAGAGGAGCATTCCAATCGCACGGAAGGAGAAGTGAGACCACAAGCTGATCTCACTGGCTGTGCCCCCTCGTCCACCATTTCTGCCAAAGGGCCTCCTAAAATGACAACTGCTGGGGAAGGATCCTAAATACAGCTATGTGTGTGGAGGCTCTTATTTAACCAACTAGCGTAACAATGGTCTTGCTGAGACTGAAGGTCTGAAATGCATACATTTCCTGGAGAAAATGCTGCTCTTGGCTCTCTATGGTGCCGGTTTTGTAACCAGAAGCAAAGGCTATCGATTGCGTGAGCTCCTCTGAATGGCTCACATTTCAAACTGACCCTCCTTGGCGGCAGAGACTTTGGCCACGACCAACAATTGAGACTTTGGCCACATGACCAACAATTGAGACTTTGGCCACATGACCAACAATTGAGACTTTGGCCACATGACCCCCACTGAAGAGAGACAGGCAATGCTTACTTTGCCTGGAGAATATGGTGAGCTTGGCTCCCTCTGGTGCTGATCATGTGACCAGAAGCCAAGGCCTTTGGTCATCTGGTCTCTTGGCTCACAGCTTAGACTGACTGACCCTCCTTGGCGGCGGAGACTTTGGCCACATGACCAACAATTGAGACTTTGGCCACATGACCACCACTGAAGAGAGACAGGAAATGCTTACTTTGCCTGGAGAATATGGTGAGCTTGGCTCCTTCTGGTGCTGATCATGTGACCACAAGCCAAGGCCTTTGGTCATCTGGTCTCTTGGCTCACAGCTTAGACTGACTGACCCTCCTTGTCAGCAGAGGGCACATAACCGAAACTGAGGCTTTGGTCACACGACCAGCTCTGATGAGAGCAAGGAGCAGCATCTTTTCCAGGAAATGCTTACTTTGCCTTGAGCAAATGCTGCTCCTGGCTCCCTCCAGTGCTTGTCATGTGAACAGAAGCAACGGCTATCGTTCGCCTGGTCTCCTCTGAATGGTTCAGAACGACTGATCCTCATTGTCCGCAGAGGCCACATGACCAGAAACCAAGGTTTTGGTTACATGACCACCACTGAAGAGAGACAGGAGTAAGATTTTTTTTTTCCAGGAAATGCTTACTTTGCATGGAGAATACGGTGAGCCTGGCTCCCTTAGGTGCTGCTCACGTGACCAGAAGCAAAGGCCTTGGTCATCTTGTCTCTTCTGAATGGCTCACAGCTTACACTGACTGATCCTCCTTGTCAGAGGTCACATGTCCAAAAACTGAGGCTTTGGTCACACAACCAGCTCTGATAGCATCTTTTCCAGGAAATGCATGCTTACCGCGCCTGGAGAAAATGCTGCTCCTGGCTCCCTCCGGTGCTGGTCATGTGACCAGAAGCAAAGGCAAATGGTTGCCTGGTCTCCTCCAAATGGCTCACAGTTCAGACCGACTGATCCTCGTTGTCCGCAGAGGCCACATGACCAAAAATTAAGGCTTTGGTCACATGACCAGCTCTAAAAAGAGCAAGGAGCAGCATTTTCTCCAGGAAGCATTTCAACCCTTATTTAGAAACGCTCCAAATTTAGAATTTAATTCCTTGACTTGTACAGGTTTTGCAACATTTACCGCTTTAAGGTTTTTTTTTTCCTCCTGCAGCTCCATCTGTGTTTCTTCGTACAAATGTTTCCATTTACTTCCATTGTCCTGGGATATGATGCCACCCCGCTGGGCTCTCAGAATGGGACTCTGCTGTATCCAGAGATGCGTCTCCTATCCCAGAACACTGAATGTTTCACTTCCTGACTCCCTCTATTTCCTGCCAAACACCGCTTTCTGTTTAACCTCAGACTAGCCAAACAAGTTCATTAGCATTTAAAAGAAAATAAAAAAGTGCTATTAACTAATATTACTCCATATTTGCTATATATATATATATTTATAAAAAAAAAATCACTAAAATGGCGATAGAAACACCCAGGAGGATAGACAGACATGGCTGAGAAGCACAGAAGGAAGCTGAAATCGTCATAGAAGGGTCTGGAGAATACAAACAACATCACCTGAAGCTGGAAGAATTCATCTCTTTTCCTTGTGAAAAGCCGTTTCAGAGCCCTTGTTGTTTGTGTTCTACCAGGAGAAGATAATGAGGGCGTATTCTGAAGGTGACCCCCCCCCCCTCCCATGTGTTCTACCAGGAGAAGGTAATGAGGGCGTATTCTGAAGGTGACCCCCCCCCCCCTCCCATGTGTTCTACCAGGAGAAGATAATGAGGGCGTATTCTGAAGGTGACCCCCCCCCCTCCCATGTGTTCTACCAGGAGAAGGTAATGAGGGCGTATTCTGAAGGTGACCCCCCCCCCTCCCATGTGTTCTACCAGGAGAAGGTAATGAGGGCGTATTCTGAAGGTGACCCCCCCCCCCCCCTCCCATGTGTTCTACCTGGAGAAGATAATGAGGGGTGTATTCTGAAGGTGACCCCCCCCCCCCCCCATTACACCCCCCCTCCCATTACACCCCCCTCCCCCTTCCATTGTCGGCTGCAACACACAATCTGGATGTGTAAATATTAAACTCTCCTTGTACTGAGGAACTTAAACTTGTGTCATGGAAACGGTTTACTGACTGGGATGGTAATAAAAGTCATTTTTGTGTTCAGTTTGTTGCATAGTGGGGGGGGGGGGGGGGGGGGGGGGGGGAGGGGGGGGGGGGGGGGGGGGGGGGGGGGGAGGGGGGCTGATAAGATGGCTGTGGTATGGTTTAGAGTAGGGGGTCACCAAACTTTCTACACAAAGGGCCAGTTTGCTGTCCTTCAAACTTTAGGGGGAGCGGACTGTGGTCAGAAGGAGTAGAAAATATCCTGACTTGGGAGTAAAACAATACCCCATGATTAGTATTAGTGGGAGGAATAGTGCCCCATCATTGGTGTCAGTGGGAGGAATAGTGCCCCATCATTGGTGTCAGTGGAGGGATAGTGCCCCATCATTGGTGTCAGTGGGGGGAATAGCGCCCCATCATTGGTGTCAGTGGGAGGAATAGTGTCCCATCATTGGTGTCAGTGGGAGGAATAGTGCCCCATCATTGGTGTCAGTGGGAGGAATAGTGCCCCATCATTGGTGTCAGTGGGAGGGATAGTGCCCCATCATTGGTGTCAGTGGGAGGGATAGTGCCCCATCATTGGTGTCAGTGGGGGGAATAGCGCCCCATCATTGGTGTCAGTGGGAGGAATAGTGTCCCATCATTGGTGTCAGTGGGAGGAATAGTGCCCCATCATTGGTATCAGTGGGAGTAATAGTGTCCCATCACTAGTGTCAGTGGGAGGAATAGTGCCCCATCATTGGTGTCAGTGGGAGGAATAGTGCCCCATCATTGGTGTCAGTGGAGGAATAGTGTCCCATCACTGGTGTCAGTGGGAGGAATAGTGCCCCATCATTGGTGTCAGGGGAGGAATAGTGCCCCATCATTGGTATCAGTGGGAGGAATAGTGTCCCATCACTAGTGTCAGTGGGAGGAATAGTGCCCCATCATTGGTGTCAGTGGGAGGAATAGTGCCCATCATTGGTGTCAGTGGGAGGAATAGTGCCCCATCATTGGTGTCAGTGGGAGGAATAGTGCCCCATCATTGGTGTCAGGGGGAGGAATAGTGCCCCATCATTGGTGTCAGGGGGAGGAATAGTGCCCCATCATTGGTGTCAGTGGAGGAATAGTGTCCCATCACTGGTGTCAGGGGAGGAATAGTGCCCCATCATTGGTATCAGTGGGAGGAATAGTGCCCCGTCATTGGTGTCAGTGGGAGGTAATAGTGCCCCATCATTGGTGTCAGTGGGAGGAATAGTGCCCCATCATTGGTATCAGTGGGAGGAATTTAGTGCCCCATCATTGGTGTCAGGGGGAGGAATAGTGCCCCATCACTGGTGTCAGGGGGAGGAATAGTGCCCCATCATTGGTATCAGTGGGGGAATAGTGCCCCATCATTGGTATCAGTGGGAGGAATGGTGCCCCATCATTGGTGTCAGGGGGAGGAATGGTGCCCCATCATTGTGTCAGGGGGAGGAATGGTGCCCCATCATTGGTGTCAGGGGGAGGAATGGTGCCCCATCATTGGTGTCAGGGGGAGGAATGGTGCCCTAAGGTCGTTGTCAGTGGCAGGAACTAAGCCCACTGTTGCTGACAGTAGGAAAAATAATGCCCCAAGGGCCAGCAAAGGGCCGCATCTGGGTCCCAGGCCGCAGTTTGGGAGACCCCTGGTTTACAGCATGACTTATAATCTGCACATGCTGGGTTCAGAAAGGCAGAGTTTTTATAAAGGATGCCCAGCAATATTTCATGCCATCACTCTCCTTAATTCCTTCCCACTAAAAAGTTTCTGAAACGCCCCGGGGTGGGAAGGATTGGTGATCATGTGACCACTCTGATTGGCTGTACCACATGATCAGGAGCTGGTCCCACCAGTTACCGATACTCTGGACTGAAAGCGGTCTTTGAGAGGCACAGTGAGGGCACTCTCAGCACAGAAAACTTCACCTGCCCAGTGACGCATATGTGTGGAGTGGTGTTCTCAAAAAGCTTTGTCCCCCCTCCACCAGCCGCTGCATTGAGAAGCACAGAGACCCAGTGATGACATAATTGGGTTTAAAATATGCCATGTAATAAATCGGAAATGCTTTATTTAAAACTGTCATTAGCATTTGGAGGAACCAAGGAAAGCAAAATATGATCAGATAAACGTTAACTGAAGAAAAGTACAATATCTGTTCCAATGAAAGTCCATACACAGGGCAGGATCCGTTCACGTGTAGAAAAGGGGAGAGATTGGAAAGTGTACACAGAAAGTTCTAGTACTTTTTTTTTTTTTTTTTTTTTTTTATTCCCCATGTGACATCACACACACAAACCCACCAAACATACAGAGAGGGCCATAAAAACAGGCCGCAAACGCATGACAAAATACATACGAAAAATGCTAAATATCTTTTTTTTTCTTGATAAAATGCACTAAAATCCAACTCTGTTTCTAGTGTGCCCAGTCCCCTTGGACACTAAAATAAGGAAAGGCAAGTTCAAGTTTACAATGTTTTGTGTGATTAAA